TGACATATAGTTTTTCATGGTATTCTCCTATAATCCTTTCCATTTCTGTAATATCCATTGTAATTTCTTCTCTTTCATTTCTAATTTTATTTATTTGAGACTTCTCTCTTTTCCTTAATGAGTCTGGCTGAGGGCTTGTCAATTTTGTTTATCTTCTCAAAGAACCAGTTCTTAGTTTTATTAATTCTTTCTACGGTTTTTTTTTTTTTTTGGTCTCTATTTCATCTATTTCTGCTGTAATTTTTGTTTCTTCCCTCCTTCTGTTGACTTTGTACTTTGTTACTGGGATTGTAATCTCCTGTAACTTCAAGTTTGATTTCTAGAGGGTTGTTATTCTCTTTCTCTTCTTCCGTGTTACTTAGTTCTTCATGGTAACTGATTCTTTGCTGGCACATTTGTGGTAGTAACCACATTTCCTATTGGGTATGGGTTTGGTTACTTTGGTTCTGAGTTGCTTTTGTTTGTATTTGATACCCTGCACTTTCCACCCTCTACTACCTCTGCTGGTGGTGTAGTCAGTGCCCTCCTTGTGCTACTTTAGCCTCTGAGGTTGCTAGTGACTTGCTGCTTATGATGTCAGTGCAGTCTCAGGTGTCACCAGTGGGGTCACCAGGCTTCATACACTTCTGCTGCTTCTGGGGTCTCCTGGGTGTCATGCTTCTCCACTGCTTCTCCTTGGGCTCTCCATGGGAGAGGATACTGCTGCATTATATACCATCTACACTGCTGCTCCAAGGTTGTCTAGGGTTACTGTTTGCACCAATGCCTGGGTGCTGGGTTCATGAGTGTCACTGTCACTTCAGGGGCCTCTGGTACTTGAAGATTGTATGCAGCCCCTGCTGCTGGTGGACCTGATATTGGGGGTTCTGCCACTGGGGGCTGGGTAACTAGTTCCATTGTATTTCCTGAAGCCTCTGGTTACAGGTTCCACCTGCCACCACTGGGGGTTTGGAGGGGCTAAGCAGAGAGAGGTTGTTGCTTGTGCAGCCTCTGGTTTCTAGAGCTAGTTGGTTTGTTTTGCAAACTGAGGTTAGGGTCCCCTGCCCTACCTGGGAAAATATGAGTTTTGTATACTGCTCCCAATGTTGGAAAGACCTGTCCAATGCAGGTAGAGGGGGAGGGATCTGCTGAGAGACAGGCAGGGAGCAAGCTGCCCCTGTTTTCTCTGTCCCCCAGTGACCACTTACAGACACGTGGGGCAGATCCACTTGGGGACAGGCGGGGACACCTATTGGTTTTGCTCCTGCCATGACCATTCACAGTTACATGAGCTCCAGTGCCTGCTGTTTCTGTTTCCGTTGTGTCTGCCCAGAGTTATGTAAGTCATGGCACCTACTGTTTCCACTCACATGACAGTAGTGATCTATGGCACCTGCTTTTCTGCTCTTGAAGCAACTGCTTGCAGGCACATACACTGGTGTGAGGATCTACACCCTGGATAACTGCTGTTGGAGGAGGTGGAGGGGGCTGCTCCCCTAGTTCCACTGCACCCTGGGGGTCCATTCCACCCACCTTCAGATATATATGCGTGGATCTCTTATGTGTCTTGTTGTGCACTTTGGCATAAAATGGGGAACTGGAAAACCTTTGAGAACTTTTTTAGTGTTTAAAAGGAGAAAACACAGGCCCAGAGGAAAAGTTGTGGATATTTTTGAGGGGCCTATACTATCTTATTTGATCCATTCAGAAAGTCATATATGAGCAGTCTACAGAAGGCTCCTGAGTTGAGTGGTTCCCATGTAACTTTGTTGAACATGCCAGGTCTTGAGGAAGTGAGGGGCCACCAGTCAAGAATAATTGTAATACTTGGTCTTCTGAGAGTGATCCTGTCCATATTCTTCCTAATAAACATATCTCTTCAGATTTCGTTCCTTGCCCTATAATTACACTGAACTTTTCCAAAGTCATCTAAGAAAATATAAGGAAGGCTTATACATAAATATCATAAAGAAGAGGGGCATGCCAAAAGGGTTACTTTTTCATTTACTTTTTCCATTTCTTTCTTTTTTTTCACTTTCTAAGCAGGATCAAATGGAGATAAGTATGGGGAGGGAGAGTATCTGATGCCAAGAATGACATCTGAAAAAACCAAAGGAAGGGAGCCCAGATAAACTTTATCCAAAACAAAAGAAGAAAGCTTAGGAGTCCTTGATAAATAAGAAGCAGCTAAAAACAAGGTTGAATTAGAAATGATAGACTCTAGGGTGATTGAGTAAAACCATGTGACAATTAAAGGTGCTCGGGGATTAGAGACAGTATCACTGGTTTAGCATCTTTCTCTGTGTACAGTAGGATCTTCTGGGGTAATTTTGTCTCTTAGGCATCAGCGGGCAAAAGCTTTGCAGTGGTCACCATCCAAACACTGAGATTTCCCTTCCCTCAGTTACAACAGCATATATTGCAAAACACTTTAATATCTCCTTATTTCTTCCTCCTAAAAGATGAATTCTCTTCATTTTGTCTCACTTATTTGGCAAGCAATCAGCATTACCTCCTTTCTGTCAATTCCTGAAAGAGTATGTGAAAAGATGTGGTGATCATGTTATTACAGCATGTTCAATTACACTGTCATTGCCCTGTCCATTTGTACAATAATGTGTCTGACATGGTCTCTGCCAGTTTAGAGATCTTTTGTGATCTGTTATTGCAAAAAATATGAAGAGGTCTTCCCTAATCTCTAACTTCCTGCCTACATCCAGCTGGTGATCACCCATAAGAATTTATCTCTGCCTTTCTCATACCACATATCATCTCTCGTTTTGTATTATATTTCTATGGGCTCATTTCTCTCTCTTCCAGGCCTATAGGCTCGTTATTGGATAATTTACATCATCCAAAATACCAAGTATAGTACTCTTCACTCTATAGTTTTTTAGAAATAAGATTAATGTAGCAGTGAACACGTTTTAGTGAGCGGTTCAGTGGAGATACTTAAGATACGGCTCTGGAGCTAGACTGCCTGGATTTGAATCTCAGTTCTTCCCTTCATGGTTTGTGTGACCTTATTTCCTCCTCTGATCCAAGTCTCCTTATCTGAAAAATGGGAATGATAAGAGTACATATCTCATGAAGTTGTTAAAAGTTAAAATAAGATGAAACATAAAAGCATGCAGAATAACACCTGGAACATAGTACACACTGAATAAATATTAGCTACCTAATAAGATGCCTTGATTTTCAGGAAAATTCAATCATATTAGAAGCAAAGACAATTAAGTAAATCAAGTAGCTTGGGGTTTTGGAAAAAATGGCCAGTGAGAAGCCAGAATACCCAATAATGTCTTAGAAATATTGTTTGTAAAGGTGTTTCTAGTAATATCTTGGGCTATATGGTCAAAGAAACCAATAATACTAGATAAAAACTAAAACACTTTTTTCATTGCTGAGCCAGTGAGAAAAGTACAGAAATGACATGAAAAGCACAAACCAAAGAGGGTATTGGGCTGGATCCATCATTTTGCCAGGATGGACCTACAAATCTCTGGTAGGCTCAGTCCTGGGTTTTAATGAGCAAATCTATGTGGGGTAGGAGAAAAAGACAATGTGTGAGATTGTCTTAGAGACGGTACCCCTTCTCTCTAAGGCCACTGAAAACAGGGACTCTCAATGGGTGACATTCTCAGAGGGCACACCAGAAAAAAAAACTACTTCACAAAATGAGACAATTATCCACACACCTTTCTCAGCTTTAGTTTGAGAGAAAGACAAGCAGTAAAAAAAAAGTCTTTCCTGATAATTTTTTTTTTCCTAAGGAAGATTTGCCCTGAACTAAAATCCATTGCCAATATTCCTCTTTTTGCTTGGGAAGATTCACCCTGAGCTAACATCTGCACCTGTTTTCCTCTATTTGTATGTGGGGTGGCTGCCAAGTATGGCAGCCAATGAGAGGTATAGATCCATGCCAGGAACTGAACCCCGGCCGCCGAAGCAGAGTGCGCCAAACTTAACAACTAGACCATGGGACCGGCCCCTTAAATTTATTTTTATTGGTGTAAATTGACCTTATATTGTGTAAGTTTCAGGTGTTCATTGTATTGATTTGATACATTTACATTTTGCAGTATGCTTGCTACCCTAGCATTAGCTAACACCTCTATCATGTCACATAAGTAGATTTCTTTTTTTGTGGTGAGAACAATTAAGTTCTGGCTTATTCAGATTTTGAAATATAATGCTGTATAACTGAAATTGATATACTATTATAAACCAATATTGCTTCAATAAATAAAAGATATCTAGTCTCTTAGGAACTTTGAAGTTTATAATAGAACATTGTTGTCTATAATCACAATGCTGTGCATTAGATCTCTAGGATTTATCTGGTAGTTACAAGTTTGTACCCTTAAATAACATATCTCCAATTCCACCACCCGCCAGTCTCTGGTAACCACCATTCTGTTTGCTGTTTTTATGAGTTTGGCTTTTTTAGAACCCACATATAAGTGATATCATCCAGTTTTCTCATACTGTATCTGACTTATCTCACTTAGTGTAACACCCTCAGGTCTGTCCATGTTGCGGCAAATGGCAGGATTTCATTCTTTCTCATGACTCAGTGATATGCCAGTGTGTGTGTGTGTGTGTGTGTGTGTGTATAATGTCTACTTTATCCATTCAAGTATTGACAGACTCTTAGGTTGTTTCCATATCTTTGCTATTGTGAATAATGCTCCAATAAGCATGGGCATGAGGATATCTTTTTGATATATATTTTTTCATTTTCTTTGGCTATATATCCAGAGGAGGAATTGCTGGATAAAACGGTAGTTCTATTTTTATTTTTTTAGGAAATTTAATACTTTTTTCCATAGTGGCTGAACCTTTTACATTCCCATGACAGCGTATGAGGGTTCCCATATCTCCACATCCTTGCCAACAGTTTCTCTCTTCTCTTCTTGATAATAAACATTCTGAGAGGTGTGAGATGATATCTCATTGTGGTTTTGATTTGCATTTCCTTGATGATTAACTACATTGAGCATCTTTTTATGTTCCTTTTGGCCATTGAATGTCTTCTTTAGAAAAAATGTCCATTTAGTTCCACTGCCCATTTTTAAATCAGGCTCCTTGATATTTGTTATGAAGTTGCAAGCGCTCATTAAATACATTAGATCATAACTTCTTATCTGATGAATGGATTGGAACTATTTTCTCCCATTCTGTAGGCTTCTTTTCATTTTTTTTAATTGTTTTTTGCTGTATAGAAGCTTTTTACTTTAATGTATTCCCGCTTGTTGATTTTTGTTTCTGTTGCTTGTGCTTGTGGTGTCATATCAAAAAAATCATTGCCAAGATCAGTGTCAAGGAGCTTTGCCTCTATTTTTTCTTCTAAGAGTTTTATGAGTTTAGTTCTTATGTTAAAATCTTTAACTCATTTCGGGTTAAGTTTTGTGAGCAGTGTAAGTAACGGGTCTGGAGTTTTCTCTGCTTTTGTGGCTAGATCTGCTGCACTCTTCTTGCTCCCTCTTGTGGCTGAAATCCTAAACTATTCTGTGTTCTCTGGTTTTTGTCGCTCACCAGGCTGGCTACTGGAAATCTCTTTTTTGTTTTCCAGAAGGTGGCACTACTGCTCACGTTTGTGGTTTCTCCCTTTTCCATAGGCTGTTTCCTTTTTTTCTGAGAGCACTCAGTTTACCAGATTTTCTCTCCCTGCTACATTCAGGAATGTACACAAGGAGCCAGCTGCAGATGAGGAGGAGGTGTGGATTTAACAATGGGAGCTTGTTGGTTCGCATGGATCTGGAGGGGAGATGCTCTGGTGAGATACTCCTAGAGGCTCATGAGTGGGCTTCCTACTGAAATCCTGAGCCCCTGTGCCCCTTTAACTCCCTTTGGTATTTCTCTCTATCTCTTACCTGATTTCCCTTCTCCCTACACTCATGGTCTACCTGGTCAGTAGTCTACATAACCCTAGAGAGAAAGGATTTCCTCATCTGTGTCTTGCACTGCCAGGGTAGCTGGGTGCTCATTCACGGCTCTTTCCCTGTGCAGGAGTGTTTGCCACTGCTGAGTAGTTCAGCCCATGCAGTGTTATCTTGAAGAGGGTGGTGCTGGGGAAGCTCCTTTTAGTGTCTCCACTGTGACCAGCTCACACTTTTTTTCTGCTCCAGTTGTGAACTGGCTTTCCATTTCAGGAAGACTGGGCTTCAACAAAGTCTCTCTCATTCATGGTTGTCATCACACTCTCCAGGCGTTATGTGGCCATAATCAAGATGGTTTTAGGAAGGTTATTGGCTCCTTCTGGTTCTGCATCCCATACAAAGATCTGTCTGCCTATTACTGGATGCACAGGTGGGTGAGATTCCTCCTGGACCCGTGGCATTTAGTGCTAGATATTACAACTTCCACAAAGGCATTTGTTGGTGGATGGATGTCAAATTCATTGTTACAAAAATGGAACAAAAAGAAGGACAATAACAGGACAATAAATAACAAGTGTTGGATTACTATTGCCACTCCTTCCCCTCATAAATTTTAATCTCATCCATCTACTTATGTGGATTTGCAGCCTACATATTGTCATTATTGTGACTTCAAAAAACACCAAGTCAACATTTTTATCAAAGGAGATTCTGGGTTGGTGTCACCCCCAAAGTGTTTGACAGATGTCATATGAATCATTTCTGAAGCAATACATTTTAAACATAAGAATCATAGATTCCTAGAGATAACTTTTAAAGAAACACGAACTTAAGATGAAAAATATCACTGGGCACCAAATAAACAGGGCGCTTGAATAAGAGGCAGCGATATCATTAAACTATGGAATCAGACTTGCAAAACTATGTATTTGAATTATAGATAATAATAATTTAAATAAGTATGTTGAATATGTTTAAATAAAGGATGCTATGGAAAGTATGATGAAACAATAAAGGACTAACCAAACTGACTCTTTGGGAAAGGAACAAAATGGAAACTCTTGAGAGAAAATCAAATATTATAATTGAAATTTGAAATTAATGGATGAATTAAACAGCCAATTAGCACAACTTATGATAGAATGAATTTACTAGAAGAGACATCTATTAAAAATTAAACTGAATGCAGTAGAGAAACAAAAATAATGAATGTTTCACTGATGTGGAGAGCAGAGCAAGAATACATCTAATTGGTATTCCAGAGACATAGAACAGAAATATAGAGGCAATTTTCAGAATGCTATCGTTGTTTAGTACATAGCACACAAGGCTTATGGTTACCATATTGAATGAATGGACCTTAGAGGAAGCGGTGAATATGTCCACAAGTAGAGGGAGAATAACAGTATACACTGAAGCTGCTCAATAAATCTTTTCGTTGTCTTGATTTTTGGTTATGATGAGGAAGAATGCAATTTTCTTCACTGTTCTCACAAGATTATGCCTCCACTCAGTCTCATTGCGGAGAGCCACACCTAGGTCTGAGATGGTGAATGCATAGTCTGTCTGCTACCAGCTCTCCTTCTGTACTGATGGCAGACATCTTGAATTTATTTTCTAATGAATCTCTTCCTTACTTCAGAATTCTTCTCAAAACAGTGCACCATGAAGCAATGAGTGATCAGATTTTGGGAAATGATCCCTTTTAACTTATTTCTCAGACTTACCTTATGCTTCTATGGGAATTTTCTCTTTGCACTCATTTTTGGAACTAGGAGACTGGGAAATGGTTAGAAATAAGGAAAATATTCTTGTCGGCTAATGCTGACAAATATTTATAGTGCATAGACATAGACATAAGTTACTTCATTAATTCCACAGCCCGTTTTAAGGGAAATCTCCAAGACTTCTACATTTACCTGTATACACAACTCTCACACTACATTTGACATCTATTTTCTAGCTTTCACAGCTTCCCATGATTTTCTTTGTAGTTTGAGTTCATCTGAACAAAAATGTGTTTGTGGTGGGAGGTGTTCTAATGACCATCTGGAGAGATGCCAGCTATAGCATCTCGAAGGGGGCAAACAGTGCCCAATGAAAAATATTGGTTTTGTTATTTACCATTTGGCCTGAACACTTAGTGTTTACCTTCCCTAGACTGGCTTCAATGAGAAAACAGAAAGAACTTCCAGAAATCCCGCCTGAGTCTCTTAATCCCCATGTCCATTGCCTAAACATCCAAACTCCTACTTGAGTTCAAGTCATTTTACTATGTAGGAGAAGCCATGAACCTAGGAACTGTGAATAGAATCAAGGGTGATTGAGAATCTAATAAAACCACACGCGACAGTGGAAGTGGTGGCTGTTTGCAGGGTAGAGGGTCAAGAGTTTCCAATAGATTTTCAAAAGTATCCATGACCCAAAGAATATCAAGAATCATTGTCCTAGACAGTTTGACTCATGAATATCTCTGATTCACAGAAACAAAAATTGGCACTTGCAAGAAAGGGAGCATAATGGCTCTTACAGCGTTGTCGTGTCTAACTTCTCAGAAGCCTTCCTAGAGTCAAAAGTTGGTTAAGTCACATCCATTTCCACCGTGCTTCTTGGTTTGTGTCTATACCCACCAACCCATTGCACTATCCTTATATCTCTCCAAGAGTTATGAAAGCAGAAAGACAGTTATGGAATTGTCCACCTTCCCTAATTATAGATTATTTGAATATTAATTCCCAAGGAAATTTTAAAGAGCATCTACTCCATCATCCTCCTTTGACATATGAGGCCCAGGATGATTCAGGGGCTTCTTGAGGCATTGAGTTAATATTAGAGTGATTCCTGAGCAGAATCATTCTGTTTCACCATATAGAGTGATGACAGTATTTTCTTAATTTAGGCTATTTCCAATTTTCATATACTACTTAAATATGAAATGGAAAAACATGAAATTCAGACATTTTAGGAGACAATGTACAAATGATGTCCATTACTCTCCTTTGAGCCCAAAGAGAGAATGATAGTATTTATCCAAAAGAAGTTTTCTATTAAGGTTGGTGATTATACATGGACATATGCAGAGATTACACAAGGTTAGCTCAACTTTATGATTCAAGGTTGTATATCTAGTCACCTGCTTTCCTGGAAAAATGAAGAGTATTTCTTTGTGTTTTTTGAGGATGAAAACATTTCCTTATCTCATCTTTTTCTCAGCAGATGATATCAAGCAAGTCCATGTAAGCAGATAGAAATCACTCATCTGTGGTCATGTTTGTTCTTCTGGGACTCTAAGATGAAAAAGAGGTGCAGCTTGTCCTCTTCCCAATCTTTCTAGGTATCTATCTTGTGACCCTAATCTGGAATCTGGGTGTCATCATCCTAATCAAGATGGACTCACACCTGCACGCACCTATGTACATTTTCTCAGTTTCCTGTCATTTATAGACATTTG